AAATATGTATGCACCAAATTCCGGAGCACCCAGTTATATAAAGCAAGTACTAACAGAAATGAAAAACCAAGTTAACAGTGACACAGTTCTAACAGGATTTCTTAATACAGCATTGACACCAATGGACAGATCAACCAGACAGAAAATCAGCAAAGAAATAAAAGAACTGAATCGCACTTGTGAACAAATGAACTTAATAGACATATACAGAGTATTCCACCCAACAACAACAGAATACACATTCTTCTCAGCAGTACATGGGTCATTTTCTAAAATAGACCACATATTAATTAACAAAACATATCTAAATAAATGCAAAAGAGTTGAAATCATCCCTTGCATGCTATTGTACCATAGCGCTATGAAATAAGAAATTAATGATAAAAGATACTACAAAATTCCCACAAACACATGGAAACTGAATAACACAATCTTGAGTAATCAGTGGGTCACAGAGGAAATCAAAGAAGAAATTAAACACTACCTACAAGAAAATGAAAACACAAATACAACTTACCGGAATATGTGGGATGCAATGAAAGCTGTCATCAGAGGAAAATTTATAGCACTGAGTTCAAACATCAGGGAAACAGAACGAATACAAATAAATAACCTGATGTTACACCTCAAACATCTAGAAAAAGAAGAGCAAGTCAAACCCAAAGCGAAAAGAAGAAAAGAAATTATAAAAATCAGAGCAGAAATCAATGCAATAGAGACTAAAAAAGCAATCCAAAAAATCAATGAATCAAAGAGTTGGTTCTTTGAAAGAATAAATACAATTGATAAGCCCCTAGTCAACCTTATTAAAAAAAGGGAAGAAAAAGCTCAAATTCATGCAATAAGGAATGAAAGAGGAGAAATCACTACAGACTCTATAGAAATACAGAAAATCATCAACACCTATTTCGAAAACCTCTGCTCTCAAAGGTTTGATAACACGGAGGAAATGGACAGATTCCTAGAAGCATACGAAGTACCAAAGTTAGGTCACGAAGATGTAAAACTACTGAATAATCCAATTTCTATCAATGAAATTGAAAAGGTAATTAAATCCTTACCTACAAAGAAGAGTCCAGGCCCAGATGGATTCACTGCAGAATTCTACAAGAAATACAAAGAAGACCTAATGCCAACACTCCTCAAACTCTTCAATGAAATTGAAAGGGAAGCAATTCTCCCTAATTCATTCCTGTAAGGAAATATTACACTAACACCAAAATCAGAGAAAGAACAAAAAAAAAAAAAAAAAAAAAAAAAAAAAAGAGAACCACAGGCCAATCTCCCTAATGAACACAGATGCAAAAATCCTCAATAAAATATTGGCAAATAGGATGCAGCAAATCATCAAGAAGATCATACACCATGACCAAGCGGGATTCATCCCAGGCATGCAGGGATGGTTCAATATATGTAAATCAATAAATGTAATACACTGTATCAATAGAGCCAAAAGTAAGAACCACATGATAATTTCTATAGATGCAGAAAAAGCTTTGATAAGGTCCAACATTCATTCATGATAAGAACCCTGCAGAAAATCGGAGTAGATGGTCTTTACCTCAATATAATAAAGGCCATCTATGACAAACCAACAGCCAGTATCATACTGAATGGCCAAAAATTTAAGGCCTTTACTTTAAAATCAGGCACAAGACAAGGATGTCCCTTATCACTGCTCCTATTTAATATATTACTGGAAATACTAGCCAGAGCAATTAGACAAGAGAGAGAAATAAACGGCGTAAAGATAGGAAAAGAAGTTAAGCTATCATTATTTGCAGATGACATGATACTCTATATAGAAGATCCCCAACACTCATTGAAAGACTCCTAGATATAATAAATAAATTCAGTAATGTAGCTGGATACAGAATCAATACTCAAAAATCAATAGCATTCCTATACACTAACAACAAAGTCACAGAGAGAGAAATAAGAGAGGCGACACCCTTCACACTAGCAACCAAAAAAACGGAATATTTAGGAATTACTCTCACGAAAGAAGTGAAAGACCTGTACAGGGAAAATTATATTACACTGAAAAATGAAATTGAAGATGATCTCAGAAAATGGAAAAACATCCCTTGCTCATGGATAGGGAGAATAAATATTGTGAAAATGGCCATTCTCCCAAAACTTTTATACAGATTCAATGCAATCCCGATAAAAATACCATCAACATACCTCATAGAACTCGAGAAATCACTCCTAAAATTCATCTGGAGTGAGAAGAGACCTAGAATAGCAAGGATAGTTCTAAGCAGCAAAGGCAAGGCAGGAGGTATCACAATCCCTGACTTAAAACTATACTACAAAGCAACTGTAGTAAAATCAACATGGTACTGGAACCAAAACAGAGCTGAAGATCAGTGGAATAGATTACAAGATACAACCACAAGTGCAAACACACTCAACCACCTTGTCTTCAATAAAGGGGCCAATCATGTTCACTGGGAGTACGACAGTTTCTTTAATAAATGGTGCTGGAAAAACTGGCACTCCATATGTCGAAAGCCTAAACTAGACCCATGCCTATCACCATGTACTAAAGTAAAATCTAAATGGATCAAAGATCTGAATATTAAAACAGAAACACTAAATCTATTGGAAGACAAATTGGGTAGAAACCTTGAAGATATAGGAGTAGGTAGAGAATTCATGAACAGGATTCAAACCGCACAGGAAATACTACCCAGAATCAGTAACTGGGATCACCTCTTATTAAAAAGTTTCTGCATGTCAAAAGAAGTCTCCAGTGTGGTGAGAAGAAAACCCACAAACTGGGAAAAAATCTTAGTGAACTGCCCCTCAAACAAAGGACTTCTTTCTAAAACATATAAAGAATTAAAAAAAAATCAGACCCCCAAAATTCAAAGACCCAATCCAAAAATGGGCATCTGAGATGAATAAACAATTCTCAGATAAAGAAATACAAATGGCAAATAAATATATGAAAAAATGTTCATCATCATTGGTCATTAGAGAAATGCAAATCAAAACCACACTGAGATTTCATTTCACTCCTGAAAGAATGGCCAAGATCAAGAAAACCAACAACAACAAATGCTGGAGAGGCTGTGAAGAAAAAGGAACTCTCCTGCACTGTTGGTGGAAGTGTAGACTAGTGCAACCATTGTGGAGGGCAGTCTGGAGATTTCTCAGGACCGGAAGCCCCATATGACCAAGCTATACCACTTCTAGGCATATTCCCAGAAGAATTGAAAGCATCATACCACAGTGATATATGTGCACCTATGTTTATAGCAGCACAATTTGTAATAGCCAGATCTTGGAAACAACCTAAATGTCCATCAACTGAAGAATGGATAAAAAAGTTGTGGTATTTTTATACAAAGGAGTACTACTCAGCTATAAAGAATGACTGCATTGAGACATTTATAAATAAATGGGTGCAGCTTGAGACCATACTCATAAGTGAAATAAATCACACTCACATGTATAAATACCGAATAGTTTCCCTAGTGTAAGAAATGATAAGAATACATAGAAGTATGTGGTAATCACAGTTCCCAATCATATTGGTTTGAAGCCATATAATGTTTTCAGTCATTAACTGCAATGGTTTTAACCTGGGTTGTTTGATTTTAGTATCTGTGATAGCATGAATAGCTATTTTGAAGAAAGCAACACAACATAAAAGCTAGTGCTGATTTAATATCGTCTTGTTTTAAAGTCCCATCAAGCTGTAGTACATCTGTTTCCACTGGTTTTAACATGTTGTATCTTACTATATTTCACTATATGCTATAGTATAAACACTCTTTATAGGGAAAGAGATAATATAGAAACCATCATTTGTTTTCTATTAGCAGGTTCTAAATACCCTGTAATTATTGCATTCTCTTGAAAGGCTTCACGCTGCCTAGATATGCTTGATATTATAGCACGCGAAGTTACACTCAAATAATTTAAGGAAAGAGGTGCTATGGTGACTACTATTATGTTAGATTATCTGGTGGTGAAACACAATGATGCTTGAATTGCTCGGTTCTGCCCTGCACTGTTCTATTACAATATCCTCTCTTATCTCAATCTTCCCCCTATTTTTAAATTAATCTATTTTCTCTCATTTTTTTAATTAAGGGAAAACTAAATTAAAGAACAACGGGACATGTTATAGTTATTCTTTGTTGTCCTATTAATCTGACTTGAACCCCAGTATTGCTCTCCCCATCTTGTTCTGTCTGATTATTATATATTCTATTTTGTTTGATAGTATCAAGTTTGAGGGTATAGGCAATCACTTTGAAGGCAATAAGATATACTATGATGCCCAATATGGATTGACTATCATCCTTTTTTTTTGAAGTCCTGTAAGGTCCTCAGTGTAGATTTCATTGGTTTTGTTCCATACTGTTTCGATCAATTCTATTATACCTGATGATATAGACAACCAATTTGAAAATAGCAAGAGGCACAATGGTAACCACTTTTGATCACCAGCTATTCTATTTTTGCATCACGTGCTATGCCCACCCTTCTGCTTTAACTGACTCTGTTTTGCTTAGTCACATTTGTTTTTATTCTCTTTAAAAAAGAAATAAGAACTGTGAGAGTAATAAAACCCTAAAAGTCTAATTGTTACTGTAAAAAAGAGAAGAAAGTAAGGTGGACTAAGGGATATAACCGCAGGTATGTTCGAGAGTAGGACGGAAAACCATATAACTGAGCTTTTGTTGGATCATTGAACGGAACTGTCTCCAATTCCACTGTATGAATGTTCACTTTATATGCTTTAATTTAGTGATATGGACAACTTTTTTGGGAAGATTATGTGTAGCCTGTTAACTGGTGATTTTGTATATATATATATATATATATATTATATATTTGCATATATATATTGTGTATATATATATATATATACTGTATATATTTTTTCTAGAAATACTTTATTATTTGTACCCTTTTACTGCATTGTTTTTTATGTCCTTTCTTTTTTTTCTTCTTCTCTCTTTAAATAAAAAAAAAATTAATGATAATTTGCCATGGATTTTAGCAACCTCAGTATATGGCTTCTGTCTTTGCTTCTTGAACACTTTCACATTTTCATTTAAAAAGACTACTTTCTGACTTCTCTTTGGTCTATCCAAGTTTCCAGCATCACTTGTTACTCTCATGCTTTGAGGCCTTCACTAAGTATAATAAAAGTTTCTTGAACGTAAGCACTGTGGTACTATGACAGTCAATCTGACAATATAGATGAGGACCAAATAACTGATGCCTGGGAATGTACGTAGCATTTGTAATTAAGTGGGTCTGGAGTGTCCCCCAAACACTCCATGTTAAAGGCTTTGTCTACAGCTGCTGGTGCTACTTGGAGGTGGAGGAAATTTTAGGTGGTAGGGGCAGCTGGAAGAGATGAGTCTCTGGGGCCAGGCCATGAAGGATATCTCTCATGCACAAGCCCTTCAGTGGTAGCTCTCTTCTTCTGCTTCCTGGCTGCCACAAGGTGAGCAGATTTCTTCCTCCGTTCCTTTCTGTCAGGACTCTTCTGCTTCACCACAGGCTTCACAGCAGTAAGTCAGTCCACCATGGGTCGAACTCTCTGAACTTTCTGACACCATCAGCCAAAATAAGCCTCTCCTCCTTTTAAGTTGTTTATGTCAGTATTTTATCACAGTGATGCGCTGGCTAACAGAGGGATAAATCACATCCCATGTGAGGTGAAGCAGCTACTCAGAATGCTTTAAATTAAAAACCTGTGAAATGTTTACTTCTACACTTTTCTGTTTGATACTTGCAGACCATAGTTGACCATGAGTAACTGAAATCTTAGGAAGCAAAACCAGAGAACAGTTGTGACTGCTGTGCATGAAAGTGAAAGAGGACTAGAGGATGTCACACCATGTGGGCCCCTTTGCTCTGTAGGGCATGCTATTGTTGTTAATCTTGTGCTATGCTTGACTAAATTAAACTTTCTCAGAGATGCTGTGTATAAGAACAAATCATCATATAAGCAGGACTTTGTGCTCTCCACAATTCTGATCATCCACAGGACTCTTGGAATGTGTCCTTCATGGATAAAGGAGGGCTCCTATCTCTGCTATGGCTTCATCTGCTGGTCCTATCTTCCTCACCTTTCCAGAGCCCACCGTGTTTCTATCATTTTGAATTCCCAGGCCTCTCTGGGTTGAGCACAGTGTCACTCAGGTTGTCTCAATGGTCATCTGTGCTGAGAGACATGGTCCTCTCCACCTGCACACTTCTGGGTGGAATTTCAAACTCCTTTCCTGATGTTCTCTCTGGTCTGCTCACTCAGAGCCTCCCTATGTACTGGGGTGCATCTTTGTTGGTGGAAAAAGCCACTTACATTTCTAGAAATTGCCAGAGGAAAAGACTGTATTCTTGTTGCTGTGGCCTATGATTCAGTCAATGTACCATGTTGAATGAATGAAGGACAGATTTAATGCCCTGCAATCACTGACAGGGAGGGATCTTCAAGAGTTTGCAGTGATCTAGGGAAGTTTTGACCTCACAAGTTAATTTGCTGGTGTGTGCCAGATGCTGTCTTGATTCTTGGGAAACATTCAAATAAGATTAAAGTTTTCTTAGTCATCGATGAGAAGGTAAATTCTGGGCAGAGGTAATGAAACAAAACTACAAAAGTAAATGTGTACTTAAGGAAGAAAAGAGTCAGCCTTTCATATCTGTTCTTCCATATTTGCAGATTCAGTCAAATGCAAATTGAAAATATTTGGAAAATATTGTCTGTATTGAACAATGTGTAAGTTTCTCTTGTCATTATTCCTTAAGCAACACAATATAAAAGCTATTTACATAGCATTTACATTGAATTAGGTATTATACCTCATCTAGATGTGATTTTAAATCTATGGAAAGATGTGTGAGTATTACATGCAGATACAACACCATGTTTTACAAGAAATGAGCATCTCAATTTTGGTGTCCTCAGAGAGCCCTGGAACCAATCTCTGATAGGTACTTAGGATAAAAGTAATTTGGACACAATCTTTATTGACTGGGGACCTCCTTTACCATTTTACTCCTACGTGGAGCACTATATCAAGTTCTGGTAATGTTGGGTTGAATCTCTGAAGTTTTCTGCCTTCAGAAGTAGCAGTTTCCTGAGAGAAGACAGATATACTTGCTGCAGTACACAAGAGGAATTGGGGCCAGAAGGTAGGACCCAAACAAGGTAATGCTGAGGCTGGTGGGTGTCAGCTGGAGAGCGTGGAGCCTGAGAGGTAGCAGGAACTGAAGGCAGGTAGGAGGAGGAACTCTTGGACTTGTATCTGAGATATGAAAGGTAAGTAAAATCTACCTTTCCTGAATTTTCCTGATTGTTCTCAGTGAAAGTGTAGACTCTGATTGTAGGAATGTGACTTTGGAGATGAAGCTCACCTCTGTGCCTCTGTGACTATGTGAGACTGCAGTCCAGGTAGTGGGAAGTGGGTGTTTGCACCTCAGCAAGGGCCAGGGCATCTTCATCTCCTCCAACAGTGCATGCCATAACTACAGGGTGCTTGGAAGGGTCAGATTAAAGACGGGACCTTTCGATGGGGAGTTGAGTAAAATGGGGTCATGCCAGTGGTCACCAATCCAACAAGACTGATGTCTTTGTAGGAAGAATTGGGACCCAGACAGATACAGAGGGGTGACTATATGGTGACACAGGGAATGACAGCCTCTGCAGGACAAGGAGTATGGCCTCAGGAGAGACCAGGCCTGCCCACACCTTGACCTAGGACTTGCAGCCTTCAGGCCAGTGAGGAATGCTCTTCCACTGTTGAGCCACCCAGATGTGGTCTATGTTATGGCAGCCTGAGCTGCCACACATCAGGTAATGAAAGGCTATGACAGAGGCGAGAGTGATGGAGAAAATATGACATTTTAAAGAGACAAGACCATGTTTCAGGACTTAAGACCTTTCCTGGTATTTAAGGAAAGTGGTTTTGGCTTCCAAAGAAAGGAACCTGGAGCTCAGTGGGTGAAATAAGAACTCGCCATGGATGTCCTTCACAAGAACTCATAGCTCTTGTCACTAGTATCTGGAGCCTAGACTCTAGGGTTTACAGCTTTAAAAATATCCCTCATCTATTTTCTGCATTTCATTTTCTTCCATGGCTTTGTACAGGAAGAGTGAGCAGAACAGCAGCGATAACACCAGATCGTGTTTTACCAGCTGAGTCCAGAAGAAGAAAGGAGGCTGAACCGTTCTGACCAGAGACCCTTCTGCTGCTCTGGCTCTACATCTGAAACCTGGGACCAGTGGAGACTGAAGGACACAGCCCCAGTGTGCCAAGGGCCAGACACGAGTAGAGCTGGTTCAGTGGGGTTGGGGTGTGAGGGAAGGTGGGAGAGATGGGGATCAGTGGGAGAGTGTCCTCCAGCTGGTAGCCAGTTCTCAGAGGGCACGAACTGTGGTTTTGCCAAGGACAAGGGTAGCTTACAAATGCATCTTATTTTACAGTGCACAGAGCATTTCCAAAGCAACCTACTCAGGAGGTAGGTCCCCTGGTACTGGCCCTGTTTGTATAGAAGCAAACATACCCAGCACTGCCTGGCCACTCTCAGGGCATTGTGCTGCTGGCCCAGGCCTCAGAGACTTCCTGCATCAGTGCTTCCTCTTGGCAGGAGACACTGAGTTCAGGGTCCCACTTGAGTGACACTGCTCACAAAGATATCTGGGCCCTGAGAGAGGCCCAGGTTTCTCTGTGTACCAAGCTGACAGGTGGCTGACCTAGGGAGCTGCTGAGACCTCAGGAAAATGAGCTTCTTAGGAAGTGACCTCTTCTTTTTTGTGTTTTAGGAAGGAAGCCCTGCTTGTGCACTCTACCACCTAGTGAGCACCAAGTCACATACCCATGCTGCTCTGGTGGAGGTGGAGGCAGTGTCCTGTAGCTAAGACGTCTGTTTAATTGCCAGGCAAGCCAGAGTTTGCATGCTACCTGGCAGGAGCTCCAAGACAATCTTCATCACCTGGAACCATTCTGAGAGGGAAAGAAGAAGGGGCAGATGGTGAGATACTGGTATACAGGAGCACCCATGCCTCAAGCTTTCCAGACATGAGCCAGGCAGGCAAAGCAAAACCTGACCTGGTTGGTTCTGTGGTAGTTGTTCTGCTCACTACTCTACTGCATGTTCTGCTCACTATTGCATGCATGAGCTGAGCTCATCTGGATGCATGCTTCTTTCTAAGCCATAACACATACAAAGTGTGCAGAATACACTCTGCCAGCTGTGAGCATTGCATCATGGTTCTCAATTTTTTTTTGTACACTGCAACTGTTTAGATATGTGTTTGAAGATTTTGTGTGTCTCTTCTTTCCTTGTTCCCACCCCACAGTGCCTGGTCCTTCACTGTCGCATTTAATACTCCTGTATGTGTTCGTAAAACTTTCGCTACATATCAGGAACTTTCACTACAAACACATATGTATATATATATATATGTTTACTTGTATGTATACAGATATGTGAATATATGGGAATACTATGGTTTTTATTTTAAAGAAAATCATGGTGAATATCCTTGTATATGTCTTCTAATACATGTAATAAGAGTCTTGGGTGCAGGTTGTTTCTCAAATGGTAAGTCTCGAAGACTACTATACAGAAAGATGGTATGGCAGAATAAAATTTATAGTGTGTCACATATGGTAAAGAGAAATATTTTTCATGGGAATGCATACACACACAAACATATATACCATATGCACATATGTGTTTTGTATATTGTTAGGTGACATAAAATGGATTTTCTACACAAGTCCAGGGAAGAGGAATGTGAAAGCCATAGATTTAGATACATCCTCAAGAGGCAGTTGCTGGCTACATGGTGGGCTTGTCTTCCCATTTGCCAGATATCTTCGGACTCATTGCAGTTTTTATTTCCTAACCTCATGTTTTTAGTTTTTTTTTCTTTACCAGATTTTTGGGTTAGAAACCATATCTCACTATGATTCTAGTTTGTATTTTCCAGACTACTGTTGCAGGTTAAACATATTTATTTTCTATTAAAGTTGCCCATTTGTATCCTTTTGCCATTTGTTTATTGTTTTAAGAAATTATTTATTAGGTCTGTACATGTATATATTTGATGTCAATCCTTTTCTGCTATATTTATAACTAATCTTTTCCCTGCCTGTCTTTTCCTTTCACTGTATTTATTATCTTGTGTTTTTATTTTAACATGTTAAAAATGATCTATCACTCTCTCTACAGATCATTCTTTTTGGAGCCTTCCTAAGGAATCCTTTTCAGCTGAAAGTTAGGGAATCATTTCCCCGTGTTTCTTACTGAACATTCAAAGTACAAATTAACTCTGTTCCACCCATGGATAGCCCATGCCTTACCCGCTGATTGTTTTGTACTTTGTGTATATGTTCATGTGCCTGGCTTTTCTGTCTCCTGTGAGTGAGTCTGCACCTCTGGCTCCTGATCAGTGCCACAAAGCCTGAAGGTGGTCATCACACATCTAGAGGCCAGGGACTTGTGTGCTGCCTCTGTAAAATCATCTTGGTCCTTCCTGTCCCTTTGAGTTCTCCCTATACGTTGTAAGTTCACTGAAATTTAAAGAAAACTTGTGATTTCCATCAGTTATATCAAATTTATATATTTCAAGACAATTGATGTTTTTATGACATTCATTCTGTCTGTTTTTATGACATTCATTTATGAATGTCATTTTACGACATTCAAGTCTGTACTTGCATTATACCTCTCCATACAGCCGTCTCCTTTAATTGCTTTCAGTCGTAATTGTTAGGTTTCCCTGTAGTTGCTTTCACTGTTTACTGTATTCCTGCAGATTTATAACTCTCATAACTATTTGGAAAATGGAACTTCATTACATATTCTAGTTGTAGTTTTTGTTACATAGAAGTACTTTTTAGTTTTGAAAGTTTTGTGTCGAGACAGCATGTTAATCTCCCCAAGATTTCTGTTTATCAAGACTTTCCTGTTGATTTTCTATGTAAGCCATATAGTTTCCCTTTGCTTTTTATGTATAGAATTATTAAAATGTAGGTTGTATCATGTGTCTAATCCTGATAGCTTTTGTTTTTTAAATTTTTATACCCACATTTTTAATAATGTAGTTTTCAAAGAATAAAAGTCATGAATGTGACTTAAGAGTTTTAAAGTAAAAATAAGAGAATGCAGAAAAATAAAACCTAAAATATCACTACTGGGGAAATATTGATAAACTTTTTATTTTTAAAATTCAAATTTCTTAAAATTTATACACCATAAAATTGACTGTATTTTGGAGTACAGTTTATAAATACTGGAAATTTCCTTCATCACAAAATACTACTCTGTGCTGGCCCTTTCAAAACAACCTTTTCCCTGCCTCTGGTTTCCAACCACCCCTGAGGTTTTCTCTGACCTGACAGTGCTAACATCCAGATTGCCATGTAAATGGAGTCACGGACTCTGTAAGTTTTGGAGATTGGTTCTTTAGTGTACATCGAAGCCTCTGAGATATACTGACTGAGGCGTTCATTCATTAATTTGAGTGGAGCAGTACTACACTGGGTGGATGCACCTCTGTTTGTTTATTCACTAAAAAATGAATGATATTTGAGTTGTTTTAAGTTTGGGACATTAATGAATTATTGAATAATAATTTTGAATAATAACTGAATAATAATTTTAAGTTTGGGACATTAATGAATAATAATGAAGTATTATTTTTAGGTAAGTGTTTTTAACATTTTTTCAGGGTCTGTTATTTGTTGTTTCATGCTTTTAGTACTATTTTTACATGTAGTACAGAGTCACACACATGTTTTTATTTGGACATACACTTCCATTTCTGTTAGATAAATGCCTAGTAGATGTGCTAATCAGTTGATTTGTTTGAAATATAAGGGAAAGACATGCTTTTCTCCAGTGCAGTTTTACAATTTTTCATTCTGGTCAGCAACATGAGAGTGCTAAATGTTATGTGTCCTTAGCACTTGGTATTGTTAATTTAAATTTTTAAAACTAGTTTAATAGGATATATATGTAATGGAGTCACACCATATGTCAACTTTTTATGGTGAGATTGGTTCCACTTAAGAACACCCACAAAAGACTCACATATATATTTTTGTGATCTACTAGGCCATTTCTTTCATTGCTGATTTTTTTTTCATTCATTTGATGAATTTTCAGAAGTTATCTATTGACCTGCTGAAGAGTATTCTGGTTGTTTCTAAGCTTTAATTCTAAATAAAGTTTCTATAAATATTTATGTGCAGGTTTGCATGTAGACATAGATTTTCAAATCAGTTAGCTAAGATGTAAAAGCGGAAGTTTTAGATTGTATGGCAAAGCTAAGAAGAGCATTCTAAGAAACTGTGGGACTGTCTCCCAAAGAAGCTATTTCATGTTTTAAAACTCCATATCCCTATTATCATTTAGCACTATCACTTTTTGGATTTAAGCCAATCTAACGGGTATATAATATCTTACTGCAGTTTTGGTGTGAAAGTTCGCTAATGCCAAATAATATAAAGCTTTCTTACATGTGCTTGTTTGGCATCTGCTTCAGTAAAATATCTGTTCAGGTCATTTGCCATTCTGAGATTTTTCCTTTGTTTGGTGGGGTCTTTGTTTGTTTTATTTTTTATTGTTTAGTGTCAAAATGTTTAGTATGTTTGTGATACAAGTATTATTTTTAGATAAGTGTTTTTAATATTTTTTCAGGGTCTGTTATTTGTTGTTTCATGCTTTTAGTAGTATTTTTACATATAGTAGTTTTGGCTCATAAAATTACACTCACCAGTCTTTTCCTTTTAAGGATCATCCTTTTACTGTTGCGTGTTGTCTTGGTTTTCTCTCATTGCTGGGGCAAAACGCCCGACACCCAGAATGAAGGAAGGAAAGGTTTATTTAGCTCAGTCTTTGTGGAGGTTTCAGTCCGTAATCACTTAGCACCAAGGCAGGATGGCATGGCACCAGGGCAACACTTTAAGGCAGCAGTCGCCAAAAGCAGCCAGAATAAAGAGGGGAGAATAAGCCTCTTTTTCTCCTTTATGTTGCACAAAGGCCACTCCAGGTCCAGGGCAGGTATAGCACTCACACCTTCTCCCTGCCCTCCTCTTGCACAGGCTCAGTATATTTACAAAATAAATATCCTGGCTCTCTGATGAGTCTCTTATTTCTAAACTTCTTTATCAACCATAACACACGTAAAAAGCCTCTGTTACACAACACTGAGTCACCATCCAGGGTAATTTAGGCCCCCTCATGTTTTTTTCTCAAAGTTGTAGATTCGTAAATTTTGTATTTAGATCTCTGAGTCAGTCTGAATTAATTTTTTTATAAGTTGTGAATTCTATGTATGAGGCCCTTGTTTTTTCTTTTGCATATTGATGGTCAATTGTTGCAGCAGTGCATGTGGCAAGTTTATCTTTTCCACTGAATTCTCTTTGCTACTTTTCATAGATTATTTGACAATTTTTATCAAGAGTTTCTATATTGTCCTGGTTATTTAGACATCTCTTCTTTCACTAGTGCACTCTGTCTTAGTTGCTTTTCTCTTGTTGCTGTGACAAAATAGCTGATGCCCAAAATTAGAGGAAGATTACTTTATAATATCAACCCAAAAAGAGTGCAGGAGATCTGCCCTCACCCTAGAGACTCAAAGACTCAAATTGAGGGCTGGATCCCATGGCAATGTCCTCCACAAGTCCAGCTGAAGTCCTAGAGCCTGTGATAACATCACATGACAGTGTGTATCAAGGATCTGCATTGGGAAAGCCCAAAAGTTAGTGGTGGAAGCTAGAAAGTCTGTGCTATTAGGGAAAGTATCTGTGCCAGCAAGCCAAGAGATCTGCACTAGAGCCAGGAAGTGACTCTCAAGGCAAGGACAGAGTTTCCCAGAAAATCCTATAGCCATCCTTAGTGACAGCAAGGATCCAGGCTCCTCCAGTGATGAGAAAAGGTGAGTTCACATCAGAGAATTCAAGGGGACAAGCCTCTTCAGGAGAATCAACAGCACATCATCTTCCCCTCCAGTTCACCTT